TTAGCAGGCGTCACGTCAGGTGCATGGGGACCAGTGACAGTGGCGCTGGAACTGAGCCTGTGATGGCTAAATGATGTCAAAAATGGCCCCATTTATGTCAATTTGAGATCAAGGACCAATTCATAGTGTGAACCGCCGCAGTAAATGTGCTTTCTTATCTCCTCCATCTGCATATCTACTGTGGCCCCCTTGGTGTGCTCCTCTTTTTCTACGTGAAATGTGTGACTGCTCATATGAGGATTTATGTGAAGACTGACAGTTCAGCATACAGCACATGTCTGCGGAGCAGCGGGATCTATCCTGCTGCCGTTTGGTCTCTGTGTTGGGTTCTGTGTTATTCAGTGCCGCGCTATTTTGCTAGCCTACTCCGTTCCCCTAATTAGGCCATTTGCAGTATACGTTACCCTTAGTGTGGTCATTTATGTTCGATACCAGCGTGAACTGATAGGCTTTTGTTAACTGGTTGTTCCTATTTGGAACGTTTCACAAAGACATCAAAGGGCGGACCACAAGCCTCATTTGGCAACTTCTCCTAGCTATCCATCGGCTGCAAAACACCCCAGTGCCTTGATTATTAACTCAGTCACCACCCTCTCATTCAACTTGAATTAAAAATTAAAAACCAGCAGAAATGACAGTGCCACACCATTGAAAGTAAAGTGTGCAAAACCAACAAGGGCTCATTAGTGAGTAGTTCTGAAGACAAGCATTCTGACTTGAGACTTATTACACTTCTCCTATTTTAACTCTAATTGGGTTCATTTTATATATGAAACGCCTTGAATATTTAATGTTGAAAAGTTCTACTTCTGATACTTTATGTAGCCAAAGATACTTGGCCCGTGCTAATTGTCCAGGTTATCAGGCAGGCTGTTAGCAGTTTCTCAGTTACTGCCGCTCTCTCTGTAGAAAACAGCAAAGAGGAAGGACACTGAGCGCATCGCTCGGTGGATCATTGATGGGATCCTGATCTTCAGATAAATAAAGCTGATTTATAAATCTCAACAACAACAAAATTGTCATCTGGATTGTTGTGCTATTAGCTGCTGCACTGCTGTTGTACTATTCTGATTGTAGACAATAGGCCTTTTTATTCATTTAATAGCCAATAATAACCAATATGTGAACAAAATGTTATTACCCACAATCCTAAATGGTGTTTCCAACTTAAGCTACAAAGACACAGCTAATAAAGCCTTTGCAGTATTTAACAAGTTGTTCAGCTAGCCAGGCTCAGAGCATTTTAATTAAATAGATTAAAAACAATGTTATGGTTTCTTCCTCTGCTTGCCTTCACACAATCTTTTGTTTCTCTTAGGTTGAAAAGAAAGAAGGGGGGTGAGGGGGGTTGGGGGGTGAAAAAGCAAGATTGTGTTTCCAGGCAGGAAAGTTTGAAGTTCTTTGTTTGGAAGCGAGGTTCCGGGTGCAGCACACTGTTTAGCTTGGTGACCCTGTGACTGTCTTCTGAGGAATTGTATGAGCAGCCCTGCAGAATAGTGCTCCAGGGTCAGCTTTCATCTTAGCGGTAACCTGTGGACTTTGAAACTCAGGGCGATGGAATTGCAGCTTTGTCAGTACACTACTAATTAGAAAATTCCTGACCTCGAGCAAGATGTTTTAATTATGTGTTGTGTCAACGAGTTTGCAGATTTAATCCACCGTTGATACACACTCAAGTGTGCAAACTGTGTCGCATATTGTAGTAGATCAAGTGGAATGGTGAAGGGGGCATTTTACCCCATCTTTCTCTGCCCCATATAACCCTACGCCTTTCCTGCACCATGTTTGTTAAGAGCCATCACATGCTTAAGTAGCCAAATTAGACGTGGAGTTAATGTGTTAGCTCGTGAAAAAGCTGGTCTGATTTGCCTTGGTTTGTAGGAGGCTGAACAATGTGACAGTATTGTGCTGGGTGTGAGCTCTCTGTTGCAGTGAGTCAGTGTGAGGGAAGGCAGGAAGGGGTTAAACAGAAATTGAGCGGGGATGCTGGGGGCAGCAGTGCTGCAGAACATAGCAGTGTTCGTGCGAAGGCAAGTCATTTCCCGAAACACTGCAGACACATGGCCTGCGGCACTCTAAAACCTTTGGAGACCAAAATGGCTTGCAGGAGTTAGAAGTAATAAGGTGTTTTTTTGCCTTCTTTCTCCTTGACTGAAATTCTGCACGGTTGCTATGCATTGCCATGGAGCTGTGTAGCTGTTTTTATGGTTTATGTGGGTATTAAGATGCTCTGCAACTGGCCATTTTTGAGATTTGTTGTTCTTTAGTTGTGAAGCAAATGGAAGTTGTTTGTTTTGAAAGTAATTCCCTCATTTTTTTCTGCCATGATCAGAATGCTAGACCTCACTCTCATCCTTTTCTATTTTCCCCTTTATTCTTTCAGTTTCTCTCCCTGCTGTTCACAAAATGACAAATTAAAAAAAAAGCACAAGAAAAAACAGATATGGCAAATGTGTTTCACTGTGCTCCATTTTTAATAAGTACAGTGACAATGGCAGCTTCTTGTTTAGGCTTTACCACAGAAAAGGAACCTGTGATCAGAACAAAGGCCGTCTGTGTTGGTGCATGAACATAAAGCTGCGGTATTAGTCCATCCTGACCTCTATGATTATCGGTGGACTGAACCAAAACCCTTTTCATCCTTTCCCCTGGTTCTGTTAATCTTGGCTGCCTTGTCTGCTTCAAAGACAGGCTCCGGCATATAATCTGGGTATGTACATCTGTGAATTATTATTCTAATTCTTTATACGTTTATTAGAGCTGAATAAACTCCACATCAAATACATCACTCGGGCAATGTCAGAAAGCCCCGGGCAAATCAGCCGACATCTGTTAACTCTTTCAAAATGGCCTCATCCAGCATGTCTGTGGGCGTAGAGGAGCAAGAAAAAGGAGAGGCAAGAGAGGGAGAGAGAAAGTCTCTGTTGCTGATTAATGGCGGCCGTAGGAGAGGCGTTTCAGGCCGAGTGTGGAGATGAAGCGGGGCTGCACTCCCACGGCTGGGCTCCACACTGTAAACACTGTGAAGGGACGAGGCAGCGTTCCCCGATTGAAATGCGGCGTGGAGGAGAACATGTGGGAAAGCTTTGCTTCCTGGCACCTAGTCAGTCAACCAGGCAGTCAGTCAGTCAGTCAGTCAGTCAGTCCCTCAGTCAGTAAATTAGTCAGCCAGTCAGTGAGTCAGTCAGGCCCTCAGCCAGTCAGCCAAACAGCCAGTTTTTTTTAGTTAGTCCGTCAGTCAGCACATCAGTGAGTCCTTCAGTCATGCAGCATGTTTGTCAGTCAGTCAGGCAGAGGAGCCCCATCAGGAAAACCTGACCACCTGCAAGCTGCTTTAAAGACTTTACCAGCCAGTTGCACTTAGCAAACACAATCAATGCTTGCTACCTGGCCAGCATTATACACAAAATTCATCAGTATTTGACTAGTGGCTGCTGTTAATTTCCACCCTGGCTTTAACTTCATAAAACACCACCTGGTTCAGCTTTTGCTTCACTTCTTTGTTTAGCTTGTCAACAGTCTGTCTCTGTTGTGCTATATATGTCCTCCTTGCCTGAAGCACAGACATCAGACTTTAAACGGATTTTTCAGCATCAAAGTAATAACAACAATAGAGTAATGTTGCATCATGAACAGCTTATCTATTTCTCAACCAACATGGGGCTAGTCTTTATCCCTCAACATGAATGCTGAGCAATGTTTTTCCCCATGTTGCAGTTTTAGTTGACACAGTATGTGAGCAGCTGTGTCGTCACATACTGGTACATACAGTACACGTGTGTGTGTGTGTTTGTGTGTGTGTGTGTGTGTGTGTGTGTGTGTGTGTGTGTGTGTGTGTGTGTGTGTGTTCTCCCACCATGCAGCCCCTGTCTGCAACTTCTGCTTGTGAGGAGTGGAGTGCTGAGACAGCAGGTTGGCCCTGTGCAGGGCCGAGCAGCTCTGTGTGCCTGGCAAAGTGGGCCATTAACCCAACGCCCTAAGCTGTGACCTGGGCCAAATCCAATATTGGCTCCGGCATCAAGGCACAGGTGCCATTCAGGGTTCAAAGCCACAGATCAGCAAGAACCCCAGCACCGCTCCTGCCCCAACCCCCTTCTGCTTTCTCAAACAATAAAGGACTGAATGTAAATTCCTCAAGACACCTACAAGCATCACTGCTGCTGCTGCACAATTGGAGACAGGGAGTCAAAAGCTCAAGTGAAGAAGAGGGAGAGAGAGGTACATACATTATTAATCAAAAGTAAATTTAGCAAAAATAGGAATTAATTTTTGTCCTCTCAAGGTTGAAGTGAATGTTGCTGGTCATCAGAGGGCTGAGAACATGAAAGTGTGACCTGCTGACTTTGTCTTTCTGTTTTTTCTCTGTACGTCTGAGCATCACGGATGATGATGATGATGATGATGATGATGATGATGATGATGATGATGATGATGATGATAGGTATCCGACCATACTGGCCTAGCCATACCAATAACACATAACAGCACATAAAGGTTAAAATAATGAGTATTCGGAGAGTTGTTCTGAATGTGTTTGATGATGCTCAGCAACATTTCTATACACTTGTGTTCGGGAACAAGCCTTCATGGATTCAGGGGCATCAGTTGGTTACTGTAGGTATTTGAGTCAATCCTACATATTATTTTGCTGTTGTAAACACTCATTAGAACAGCAAATGTGTATTAATCTGCTCTTGAAAATAGTCCCCAACTAAAATGTACTTTTACTCTCTATATATATTAAACTATATATTTGCTCTGGGTTCTATAGATTTACATCTTCAGTGAGAGTGAGTGGGTTTGGTGGTTTTGGGGTTTTTATGGGATTTGTAAACAGTAAAAAAAAAATAAAGGATAATGCTAGCCTTATTCTTTATTTTAATATTTGTTGTGGATGACCTCTCTAAATATTGGCAGCTTCCATGATTTATAAGTAACCGTATTAAAGTTGCTTATATTATGACTGCAATACTCGTGACACATGGTTGGAGCATTTACAGATGTTATGTGAAGTTTATGCACACAAGGGATTATTGAAATTTCAGTAATTTATTTGCCTGATTGCCACATCAGACTCTGAGAGTGGGTGAAATTTGTCACAGGTTTCAAGTTTTTTATTCTGTCTTTTATTCTATTGTGTTGTTTTCTATAAACAGTTTTACACTAATTGCCTGTTACACAAAACATACTCAGCCTCACTCTTTGTGCTCTCGCATGCAGGCACGTGTTTGTTGGACGCCACTGGGAGCGGAATAGTGTAAAATAATGTGCCTTGCCCATTGGCGCTTTGTCGTGTATGTCAATAGAATGTGGCTGAAGACCAGAGTCAGCAAAGAGGCCTGACTATAGATGAGCTTCATCTCTCCTCTCCTCTCCTCCTCTATCCCCTGCTCCCTCTCTCTCTCTGTTTTTCTCTGTCCCCTGCTCCAAACAAGTCAAATGTCTGAAGAGATGTATCGAAGTATCCCTGCGCGTTCTGTACGATGGATATGTCATATGACATAATGCCTCCAAGCGCCCATCACAGATAAAATGACAGATGCTGTTTTTTGCCTCATGGATCTTTCTTGGCAAAGCTGATTTTGAGACTTTCAGTTTTGCTCTCCCCCTCTCTCTCTCTCTCTCTCTCTCTCTCTCTCTCTCTCTCTCTCTTTGTGCCTCTGCTCTCCTTCTTTTTCTGTTCTTATCACTTTTTTCTTTTCATCCACCGTGACCTTACAAAGCCTGCCATTTTGTTTTTCAATGAATTTTAGACACAATTACTGTGTAATTGCTGGCGACAGGGAAAGCGTGGTCGTTGATGTCTTGCTTTCCTTTTTAACTGACACTCAACCATCTGCTTTGGTTAGCGTTGGTGTTTACCCCTCCCCTCCCCGCTCCCTCCTCCACAACATGATTTCCTGCGTGTACTGACGAGAAGGATCGGTCTCCATAGATACCAACAACAACATACTGGTGTTTGCGTTGTTGCAAATATTTACGTGGAGGGCATATAAAGACAGAGGGAAGAGGAGAGGCTGCGCTGAGTGAACTGGATGAGCGCTGACCTTTCTGCCTGTATTTGGATCACTTAGGGCTGCCCTGTCCCTGAAAGGAATGAGGCATTCGTGGCACACTACCTGGGCGGCAGTGTCTTGCCATTAGTGCTGTCTCCGTCCTCCCCACCGTCACCCGCTGTGGCCACGGCACCACCCCAGCACCGACTGCCTGTGGCGACCTCTGCCCATCCGTCCAGGTGGATGGATGGCTTTGATTGGTAAAATCTGTGGCCCTGTCGCCGGCCTCACTTGTGAGTGGCAGTAATTGGCATGGCAGTAGGCAGGCCCATCTTTCACATGTGGTCAGCCATGATTGACCTGATTAGGCCGAGGTCAATCCCCAAAGTGAGGGTCTGGTTTGCCCCGGGGGTGACGATGAGCTGGCTGTACTCACTGCTTCAACTCAACTCCCTCCCGGCATGTCAGTACTACTGACCAGAGATGGTAGATGTGGTTGAGGTGAGTTGGTGGGAACAGTGGCCTGGCTGTCCTCACTCCTCATCCAGTGTCCCGGGGTCAGAGAGTGTACAGAGGGAAATTTGAGACAAGGCATCGTCACACAGTGTACACAAAGACAAGCGTATGAGGGGGGGGCGGGTGCTGGAGGGACTTTGGTTTGGTTCTTGTAAATTCATACCCATCATATGTTTGCAATTAGGGCCTGTCTGTACTGTGTGTTTACAGAGTGGCGCAATCAATGTAATTGTGAGAGGGTGTTCCTGACTGGAATTTCTGTCTTATTTCTCTCTGCCTGGGTTCAAGTGGGCACTTGCTGGATTTGTTTCCCAGTGTTTCTCATTTACAAATGTAAATGCATCTCTTGATTTGTATCAGCCTCTGTATACACTCCCTTTTTTATCGTTCTCATTTTTCCTGGATCAAATACAAACAACAAGGGCTCCATTTCAGAGTGGGACGTCAGCTCAGATCTATGTCAGCAGCGTTGTTTATTTAGAGGGAAAATCCGTTCATATTTCGGGCGATGTAAAGAGAAATGATGGTTTCCCTCGCTGTAGGAGCATGTTTCCGATGTTTTTCTCAGTCTTGTGTTCAGCCTGTTTAAGAATAAAGTCCCACAACACTCGGCTGCACCTGAAGATCTGGACGTTATTAGTGCGTCTTTTTGATCTCATTCATTCTCTTCAAGAGGGATTATTTTTTTTAACTGGAGGTGTACACTTGCTTGGAGGCCGCAGCATTCCTTACTATTGATACTGTCAATGTGTTTGCCATTCAACAATGATTACTTCATTTAGTGAATGGGAAACACAGTGCTTACTCCAAACACTTTTGTGTTTCACCATGGAAACTACCCCTTTGACCGTGCCACCGAGACTCAAGACACAAGACAAAGTGAGGAGAAAAAAAGTGCAAAACACACATAGTTATGGAGACCTAAACATAATAGTAGCCATTTAATGTCCCTGATAAAGAGCACAATTACTTTATTTTTTAGTTCACATAAAAACACACGCACGCATTCATGTATTTAGAGTCCAGCAGGGGCCTGAGGACAGGGGCAGGGTTAGGATTTAGCATATTGTAGGCCACTTTAGTAGTACTTATAGCCACTGTTGATTAATATCAAACAGCCTTGCCATTTAAAAACTGGGTATGAGTAAGAGTATGGAAAGTCACTTTCATCATCTCCTTTGGACTGAAACAAGACAAAGGGTCTACAGTCATGCCAGAGGCCCTGTGGGGCTGTACTTAGGCGCTACCTTTAGCCAAATGTCGTCATACTAACAAGCTGATGCTGAGCAGGTTCAATATTTACTATGTTCACCATCTTAGTGCAGCCCGTTTACATGCTAACATGGGACAATTAGCACTTTACACAAAGAACTAGGGGCTGATGGAAATGTGATTGGTTTTGCAGATATTTGGTGATAAACCAAAGGACAAATGGGGGTGAAACTAAATGAAAAGTTACAGGATCAACAAACTTACAATTACAATTCAGTCTATGGGGAATATGAATGTGTGAGCCAAATTTCATGGCAAGCCATCCAATCGTTGTCCAGGCATTTCACTCCAAAACAAACATGCCAAGCTCATGGTCCCATCAGAGGAAAAGTCATGTTATTCGGATTCATCGTCTGGGAAATGTCTTCTGTTCAAAATGTCATAGTTGTTGAGGTATTTCATTCTGGACCAAAGAGCTGGATCTGTTGGCAGGCTGACAGCAGAGCCATGCTGCTAGCACTGCTAAAAGTGTTGCCATGTCCCCGTAGCCATGACGATAAATCTTTTAATTTTTGTGATATTTGTGGAAATGAAAATGAAAGCTATAGAGGTAATTATATCCATCACCCCCTTCAATTAGCGATCACCTAGCAATAGACTGAATGCTTGTTGTGGTGATGAAAGACAAAACAGGATCGCAGATGTCAAAATGTAGGAATTTTTTTTTTTTTTTTACATTAAGTCTTGAAAACTGTGGATAGTGTTGAGGTATCCTGTATAAATCCTTCCATCTCACCTTCTGACCCTTTTCCTCTGTCTCCAGGTTTCAGGCAGCACGGCGGGTTCCCCAGCCAGCTCCTCCGTCCCGTCCACCTCATCGCGCCAGTACACGCGGCAACGCATCACTCGCGTCAACCTCAGGGACTTAATTTTCTACATGGAGCAGGAGAGAGAGACCGCCCACTCCCTCCTCCTTTACCGTGCCCTGCTCAAGTAGCTCTGCTCCGCTCAGCGTCCACCTCAACCTCTTCCTCCTCCTCCCAGCCACGTGCCTTCAGATCAGGTCTAATGTTTCAGCTCTGTGTCTCCATATGTACTGTAGTGATGTCTGATGTAGCTTTTAATAAGAAGAAGGAGAAAGAGAGAGAGGGAAAAAAAAAACATACAAAAATAAAACTGTTGTTCCGTGTCTCTCTGTTTATCCTCACGGTGCGTAGTTAGATCATTCAGTTTAAAGGCCATATCAAATTCTTTGTGTTGGAGTTGGATTTGTTAGAGGAACAAGGTTTTTTTTTTTGTCACAGGACTAGACCCAGAACTAGTTCCACGTATGTTGGGTAGCTTTTTATTTGACATCACTGGCAGTAGCTTCAATGATGCACCTCAAAATAAGGCAAAGAGAATTATGTTCACACCTCGACACAGCCTACAATATCCTCCACAAGCTCTTTGTTGAACATAGTTCAATGAATGTAGTTTAGCTGAACTTAATAAATGAGCCTTTCCAGATTTCTGTAATGAGACATCATGTTGAAACATTGAGATTCCAAATAACAGCATCATGATCAATTTTCCTTATGTGTAAATAGTTCTTTTTGAATTATTTTACAGCATGTATAATTTTAACACATGTAAGCTTTGTAAGAAATGGAATAACCCATGTGTCAATATTATGAAACCTGATGTTATGTAAAACCATGTGCTTTGAATGAGTCAAACTTAGATGGTTTATTCAGTTCACCTGTAGTGTATTTGTTATAAGACACAGTCCCCCTGACCCTGATGCAGAGGTCATTAAACAAAAACCATAGTCCGCACTATGACACCAGTTTCTGATTGGTCTGGGTGAGTCAGTAGTTTTTTTTTTGTCCACATATAATGTGAACATTGTCTTTATAACTAGTTGTTTGTAAGTTGTGTCCCATCACGCCCACTGCTTCAACATATCTGTGTGAGAAAGGTAAGTTTTTGCTTCAGAGAGGTTGATGTTGTAGGTGTGGTGGTGATTGTGGAGAGTGGGACCTCGGATCAAAGCAGACATTCCTTTATCTTTCCCTCTGACTGTTCTGTCTGCACATTGATGATGTTTGAAAAAAATTAGATTTAACCTATTCTTGAGGGAGCCACCCCCCACCCCCAGACCCCCCTTTTAGGCCCCTCTTCTTTTAATAATGATAATGAATGAATGACAAACGTAGTTCATGAAGAATTTTAGTGCACAGCCCTTATACTTGTTTGTATTTTGATGCGAAATGAAACATCACAGCTGTAAAGTAATTTGTAACTGGAAGGATGCAGTTGTATGATTCCAGTCTAAAAGTGATTTATATTTTTCCCAGTTGTTTCTCTCTTTGTGTTACTGATTGAAGAGAGGAACGGAACAAAACGCCTGCTTTTACATGTCGTCTTGCATTGTCGCCTTTTTTTTATTTTTTTTTTTTTACAATCCTTATTGTAGTATGTCCATTATGTTTTTGTTTATGTTTTTTCTATTTAACTAAATATCTTGGCCTCTATGCAGCTTTTCTTGTCATATTGAAATTTATTTAAATATGGGTGACATTTGAAACAATTGTTGTGCATTGTACATTTTGACAGCACTTTTTTTTAATATCTATTTTACCTGACAACTGAAAGCTGTCACTGTATTATAGCAAAGAAATTACTCTTTTAAGTAAAAAGCAGTATTGCCAATTTCTGTTAAAAGACACTTATTTCTAACAATTAATATATTTCTTGTTTTTGTTTTGTTTTAGGGGATTGGCTTTTATCCTTAACACATTTTCATAAATTTTATCTCCAAAACACCATGTTTTAAAAACAAGCACAACAATATCTATTGTGGTGATCTGAAATGATTTTAATAATGATTTCTATGGTTTCTGGTGGTTTCACAGGAGGACATTTCTACTACTACTACAGCTTTTTAGCCAAAATATTAGGACAATATTACTGATGTAAACAGATGGAAGAAATAACATTTCATTGTAAGGATGATTTGTAAATATTGTTTACAAAACTATGTGTTTATTAGAACCACGTTATTTTTGGTAAACTCTTGTACATATCTTGAAAATTTCCTGTTTGTGTGAAAAAACAATACTTATGTATTTGTACCTATTTTGTAAAGGAATAAATGAGCTGTTTACTAAACTGAGCAGAATCTGACTTTGTCCATTCCTTCTTTTCTTTTACTCTAACAGCACGCTCTGTAAAATGTCTGTAGGTGGGAATTTTTAAAAAATGCAAATCTTCGTCTAAAATGACTTAATAACTAAGCAATATGTTTCCCCCTGTTCATTCCTTACTCTTCAAAAGAAAAAAAATAAGCTGTTATGTTTTGCAGACAGTTTTACCAAAGTCAACTACTAATTCAGCCTGCTTCATTTCCATTTCTAACATTGCACATGCTAAGTACAAACTGAGTCAAGCGCTGCTGCTCAACTATGAAAAGTCCCCCTAGGTTTCTGCTGCTAATTAAGCAGAAGCATTTTTGAAAAGACCAAACCGTTTAACTCAGTGCAAAATATTGGGGTTTGGGAGCATATTGGTTTTTTCAAGATCTCGGCCTATTCCTCTGTTCCTCTGGAGCTTTAAACTGCTGATCTGGATTCAGCCCTGAAGACCACCTTCCCCACACATGCTCGAGTAGAGCAGACCCATTAGACAGTAGATATTTTTCGAAGCTGGCATCATCTGTGATAAACACTTTTACAGATAGAATAATGTGCTTCTTACGCCTTATCCTCCCCGTTTAAAGCTAATGAAACAACATGAGCGCAATGAGACACACGTCAGATATACAGTACATCCTTTTATTATCGCAAATATGCAAGAAAAGTCAAATGGAGACACTGTAAATGAACACATGCCCTTTAATACCACAGTCTAATTGTTTTAAACACTTTAAATAATATACATTTGCACCTTATTATACCCTTTGAAATGTTTTAATCCATATGTACACAGTGTTATGCTTTGAATTCTTTTCATTCTTTTTGTGAAGAGGACTAAGAGGTCTCTTAAAAACACGAGGGTCTCGTAAAACCCAGAGTCCTGATAATTCAGTTTACAATAACTGTACAACTGACCTGCCTCAGAGGTGGGAGTGAATGCCATGTGAACTGGCTGAACACTGACCAGTACCATCTGAAAAGGGCGGCATGTGTGAACATGTCTAGGAAGTTTCCAGTCCTGTCAAGTTTGACTTGCTCTGTAGGTTGCCTGCTATTTATACGCTGAGTAGAGAGGGGGCATCCCTGGTTTGGTTATTGCAAACAGAGAAACCCATACCTGCAGTCTTTGTTCCTTTTTTCTCACTTTATGTATAAGTTTGAATGGTCACTCGTGTTTTTATTCACATATGCATGAGTCCTTAGCTCTTGGAAGCTAAAAGCCCACTCTGTGATTTCAAAATGCCACATCAGTAAGAAAATATGCCTTCGTTCCCTCCTCCCTGAAAAAAAAAAAGAAGTAATTCTTGCAGATGTGAGGTTTTAATATGGCATGGATCGTTTTTACGCCTGTTTCCTCAAGAACTAACCCAGATGAGTTTCCACACCTCATATCAACTGGATGAAAGATCTTGGGCTCAGCAGCAGAGTCAAGCAGCCTGGCTGTACAGTATGTTCTGAGTGTGCTCAGATTTGACTCATCAGTTTGTTTGGTTTGTTGCGGTGTGGTCCAGCGAGCCACAGCGTAGGAGGGCGTTCTCAAAAACCAGGGCATGGGGATGACACACCAGCAGGGGGTTCAACCCAAGTTTCTACTGGCACCACTGAGCTGGGAGCCTTCGGGGAGGCAGAGGGGGGCGAGGAGCACTGTGAAAAGCCCAACATGCCTCGGCACATGAAAGGCCTGGTTGACCATTCCCTTTGAGGCGACTGTATGCGAAGGCGCAGGCCACTGGCAGGTCAGAACAAAGATGGGCTTGATTGTGAGAGAGACCCCCAGGGAGGACTGCACAGGACTGGGGGCTATACTTAATCTGAGCTCATCTTTATCCACTCATTGGCCTCGTTTAATCAGCGGCCATCCGGAGAGAGTAGATATTAGGACAGTGTGGTCAGAAGAAGTGCCGCCCATTTTTAATGAACAACTAGTTTATAAAAACAACCCCAGTTTAACTCAAACAACTGCCAGGGCCCACAAAGATCAGAATGAGCTTCTCTTTTTTTCTTTTTCTCAGTCTTTTGGAATGGAAGAAACAGCATCTGTAAGTTACACACAAATATAAAGCATGAAAACTTGGCCTTTCTTGTTTCTGTCTTTGATCCAGAAATGTTGAGAATAAGACCAAAAGAATGAGAGCAGGATAGAGTAAATGCCGCCCACTCGCCTCTTTGTGAATAACACGCAGATTCTAGGAGTACAGTTCAGTTTGGGTTCTGCCATACATATATGAGAAGAACCACAGAAATAATCTTGGCTTAGAAGTGACAATATTGAAACAGAGACTTTGCCACTCAAACTTGGTCTGATGGTACTGTGAGCTATTCTCAACAAAACTGTCAAGACTGGAGGCCTAAAGGAACAAATGTTGGTACTCTTCACACTTTTGAATAATGCATTGTGTTCTTTAGCTATAAACTGTAAAAAGAGATGGCGTCTTTATGTTTGTACAATCAATAAAATAGGCACCTTGTCTACTTTGGTACCTGCAGTATTTGTTCTGTTGGAAGTTTTGCCTGTTTTGAAACATTTTAGTGTCCTAGTCTGCTAAAGCATGAGAAGATTAACAGCTCGACTTGGCACCGGTCACTGGGATCAAACGTGTTTTAAGGGAGCAGGGTAGGGCAGCTCTGTAGGAAACGTTTAAGTGCAAAGAAACATTAAGCATTTAGAGTACATCTCTTGCTGATCACGAGACATACTGGTAAACGTCGGCTTTCCACGTCCTCAAGTCTTCAACATTCTAACCCAACAGAACTGCAATACACTTAGAGCTTGTGCAACTTCAACCTGTATTTTAAATTTACAAACTTTCTTTCAGTTTCGGCTGAATACGAACAAACGTTTGTGCTCGTGTGAGACAGAATCCGATCAGAGACCCGAGATATGTTTTACAGCTAATAAGCACAAATTCCAGAGCACTTTTTTTTTATGTGTGCTGCACATTTGACTATAAACAATGTCGAAACATCCAGGTTCTCTTCCATTCCCATTTGAACAATGGGACTTTTTCCGGCTCTGAATGCATTGCCAGCCAGATCGCTTTAGCCACATAGCCCGGAGACATCTGAGTTTTTTGCAGCTACTGCCAAGAAATGCTCCCTCACAAGCTCTCAAAGCCTAATGAATACAATGTTCATACATCCTTCATATTGGAGAAAGGAAAAAAGAGACATTAAAAATAATCCTATTAATAATAATTGTTTACACCATGTCATGATAAGAACAGCAAAAGGAGCAAGAAGAACATACTTTAGAAACAACAATGAAAAATTGTAATAAACAATCAGTTTGGCAAACGATGCTGTTTTGAGCAAAGCTCTGGCGTCGTCTGTAGCCAGGCCTGTGGGAGTGGGGTGGGATGGGTTTGGAAGGTCGCGGGGTCTCGGGGGGCTTGGGCTTTTTGAAGGGTTCGTAAAACCAGATTATGTCTTCTTCCTGTCATCCTTAAAAACGTCCTGTCTGCCAAAGCTTTTCTTGTCCCACAGCAGGCCAGATTTGTCACCAATCAGACAATACATGGACCTCATAGAGACACAGAGGTGGATGACACACTGCTGAAAGGGGAGAGGAAGGGCGGTGTTGTGTGTGTGTGTGTGTGTGTGTGTGTGTCTGTTGAGGGGCGCAGTGGATTGGGGTTCAAAGAGGATGGCAGGGTTGTGTCCCTCCAAAAGGGACAGGACGCCTTTTTTATAAGAAGATGAGGGAAAAATCAACCAGTCATGGTGCTAAAATGGTTTACGTGAGCTGCTGTTGAGTCCATTTGTAGTCGTTGCTGTTTTCATCACAGTCCCAGATTCTTTGGGCGTTATTTAACGTAATCAAAAACTTTTGTTGCTGATGCTTTTTTTTCCCTTTGTTTGGTTCTACATTCCCCTTAGAGTTCTGCAGGGCTGGTGAGGTTAACAAGCCTCTGCTAATACTTAGGTATGCTGGGGGTGGTTGTGGTCCTGTTAGGGCAGGAACGGGGGCAGGGGTAGGCAGGGTGCGGTGCTGTGAGAAGATGGAAGGAGTATTGGGTGGGTAGGTGGGGTGAGGTGGGGTGTTGGCAGTCCCTCTCCCAGAATCCTCTAGTCCAGGGGTTCCTGTTTTATCCTGATGGGTGTGTTGATGGACAGACTCCGCCGGTCCTCGCGACACAACACGTACTCACTGAACTGGGACGAGTCCACACCGCCTCCGCATGACGCCGCCACGCTGAAACCTTTCTGGAAAAGACGCTCTAGAACCTGCAGAGAGGACAGAGGAGGAGAGGGACATTAATAACAGGAGAGCCATGAGTTAAAGAGTTAAATCTAACTGAGACTTTTTACCCATAAAGATAGAGGCTCTAGGTTTCATACAGGAAAAGTTTGACAGTTTGGGAAATACGCTTACACCAATCCTGTGTGCTAAATATGAAGCTATTGCAAGCAGCCAACTAACTTACTAACTAGCTTATGTTATGCTAGCCCCCTGTAAAAGGGCGATTTGTAGTTTTACTCGTCAGGTTTTTTACTGATTAAACAAACAAGAAACAACATGTAATTAGTGAGCTTTAGAGGTGCTGGTAGGTGGATTTTGTTACCTTGGCACAGAAACTAAATTGCTGTTTTCCTGTGTTTCTATTCTTCAACTAGTTAACTGGCTGCTGGCGGCAGCTTCATATTTAGCGTAGCGTTCTTTTCTAGATAAAATCAGACCACAGTCAGTTGTTTCCTTCATAAAAATGACGACTGATTAGAAAGTTTATTGATAATACCAGAATTTTGAAGGTCTGCAGTGAAATTTAAATGATCATCAGCAAAAAATATAGATAAGTTGCGGATAGGTATCACTTTTTGATATCCATCCATCCGTTCACCTGACATCAACCTAAGGTCTTCATCAGTCATAATATGCACCGTGTGTCATTAACCCTCCCCCTCCTCCAATCACACGTAGCGATGGAATAAAACCAGAGGGCACTCCGACATCACACCACCTCTGCAATATTCATGCTGCTTGCACTGGATTGGCTACTGAACCGAGGGCATGAGCTCAAAGGGATGAGGAGAGCGCAGTGTGAGTGAGGTGTGTTAAGGGGCTGAGTGGAGCTCAGCGTGGTGATTACTGGAGCTCCTAATTTGAGTAATGAGGCTGGGGTGAGAGGAGAAGTGAGGTCCGTGAGCGAAGGAGAGAGAGCGACGTGCGGCGAATGAGGATAGGGAGTTCTGGGTGATCTGTGTGAGGACAAAGTGCTGGAGCTGTAGGGAGAGAACAGGAGACGGCGATGCATGTTAGCCCGTGTGTCTGGGCATTGATACATGCATGCACGCGCGCGCGCACACACACACACACACACACACACACACACACACACACACACACCAGTTCAAATGTAGATACTCTCAGACACAAACACGTGAACTCCAACATCACTTTTCTCTCCTCGTCTGCCGTAATCCTCGTGGGATGTTGTTTTTTTTGGAGGGGGTATATCTAAATCCCAGTTCGAGCAGTGCTGTGTATTTACTTATTCCCCCGTCCTTTTAATGGAGTGTGCAGTGCATGGAAATGAAAGGTCTTGCCGAGGGGTAACCCCTCCTGCCAGATACAGAGCCACAGTTCACGCAAAATAGATTGGTTTCTTCAGACGCCCATACACACACACATACTGACACATACACTCATGGCAAAGGATGACCTCTCTAATTACAGGAGTGAGAGCCCCATCGGAGGGCTAAAGTGGGGCATTTAGGCCTCCAGGTCGAAGGGCCGCAGCCTCCCCTGACTGGGGATTAACACAACACAGAAGAGCAGATAAATCATACAAATAAACACAGAGAGAGACTCATGATATGTGTGCAAAAATATTATCTTCTAAATGCAAATTATAACACACACATCCACATGCAAACTTGTTGAGCAGACCTGACGCTCTGTAATTTGTGAGACAGAAGGGGCGGCAGGCAGCTGATGGTGAAGATGGCTAATTAAGAGACCTGCCCAAGCATCAAACATACCCAAATCCATGGCAGACGACGGAGGAGCCTAACGATTATGGAAATGATATTACATAGCCCTCTTTGATCATTGCATCACATTGCATTTTTCCCCATCATCTCTTAACGCATGTGGGACTCTGTCATGTTCGGCAATGAATTTGGTCACAGAGGAGAATGGCCTGATCAATAAAGATAGTCAGAAAACACTTTTATCATTAATGCATGGCAACACAAAAGACTTAAGGATATTATTATAGATAGTTGTAACTGACTCAGGGATACTGTAATGACTATGAGGAGCCATAGAAAAACTTCACATTCAGTTTGACACAGTGAATTAGTGCCACGGGGGAATAAACAATACACTGAATAATTAAGATACATCCAAGCAAAAGGTTTCAATGTCCACAGGACAATGTCCTGAAATCAATCCCAGCTGACAACAGAAAGTAATGCACCCTCTTAAAAAGCTAAAACATGTCCTGGTGGCTCAGTTCAGCACTACATACTTGTGACCGCAGGCTTTCAGATCCCAGCTTATGTTGTACTTCTGCAGATTTCTCTGCTTACTTTCCTGCCTCAGTTGAGCGAAACCATAACAAAATATTCTAACAGTGAGTTACATGTGAGCAGTCAGATTGGTTGAAGTCTAATTCCAAACATAATGATTTCCGTGAAATGGAATTATTGCTAGTTAGCTGTCTTTGTTTTTTTCCTTTCATGTACACTACTTTGAACTTAAAGACAAACCACTCAGAGTCCAGTATTGCTGCAACATGTTCAGTAGATGTCACTGCTATTATTGCTTTTCAAATATGAAATCAGAATACAAAAACACAGAAGATAGGACAACTCTTTATCACTTCATAAAACTTTACTAAAGTTTCCTTTTCTTCCCTGAACATCAGCACTTCTCCTTGTCTTTTCCCTCCTGTGTGATTGAAGCAGAAAGCTGAATAAAAGCTTCTCCTCACCCTCTTTATCCCCACTGATCCCCAAACATTTGAAACATAATAAACCATTCTCACTGTTCCAGGGTCGACGTGGCTGCACAGGGATCTGCCTCCCAAACACACAAGTACCATTCAACATAGAAACCATCTCTCTGAGTTGAGCTGCCACTCAATCCGGGGTCGCCATGGGGATGAGGAGACGATATATCAGCCTAACTCCTCTAACCTCCCAGCACTGTATATTTTCAATGCAGCGAAGATGGCGAGGCAGGAATCAAAGTGGTTGAGTCTCAGTGCTGGAAACCAGAGCACAATGTAATATTGATGGCGACAGGAGTGCACACACACACACACACACACACACACACACACACACACGCTCAGTCGCGGCACCTCTCAGGAGGCGCTGGAAGATACTTGCTCCTCATGGCACAGGGCTCAGAGTTGATTGACACGTGTGACACTGTAGCATGTGATGGGCGCTACACTCAGGGGGTCGCTTTTGTTTAACTATGCACAGTCTTTCATATGTGACAGGGAGCTCTAACTGCAGTATCTGCATCGTATCCTCTGCTTATCTCAAGCATCTGGCATAAAACAGAATGGAAGCTCCAACTCTTTCTAATTCTCCCAGCCATCTGCCAGCTTTTTTTTAGGAATCACCAGCGACAAAAACAATTTGACAGTGTAATGTATTCTTGTAGCATTTGCAGCACTTTCTCAAGTTGCTGCGTTTGTTGAACTTGCGAGACGGAGCAAACGATCTCACATGGGCACTTTGATTTTAAAGTTTCTTTGAGTGGCACAAGTATTTTAGTTCAAGTGATCTCAGTGGGAATGCAACCCCTAACCCTGGCAGTGTAAATACCCACTGACCTAGATGGGAGAACAGAAGTGTGTAGGGTGAGCTCAGTCCTCAGAGGGACTGCAAGTAGTTCAGACTAAACCGAACAGACCTGAGCATGTGAGGATGGAGGCTCTCACACCACCAGACTCATTAAGTAACATTTTCTTCTTCATCTGTGGTCTGTGGTTTCTGCTTTGGAACCAGAGGTGTGACGTAACTGAGTACATTTATTTAAGCACTGTACTTGACATACTTTTCCATTTTCGCCACTTTATACTTCAGCTCCACTCCATTTCTGAGGGTACTTTTTATTACAATATATTTACTTTGATTTACAGATTCATATTCTATATACAAATCAAATGTTCAGTCTATAAAATATGATGCAGTTTTATAGAATAAAATACCTCAATCAGCACTAATAATCCAATTACATAATATGTAATAACACTTACAGGGTCATTTGCCATCATGGGTACTTTTTCTTTTGATATTTTAAGTACACTGAAGTCCACTACTGATGGTTACATTCACCCAGCAAAACCTATTTTACATGACTTTACTGCAAATATATAACACGAATGAAGGCTGTTATATCTTTCAGTGTATTCATAATTGTATGATGTAAATAGAGGTATTTTTTTCATTATATTCCATTTTGAATAAAGACGATTCTTTCTGATAAAATCGTTTTATTCCTGTGTATCCACAATCCCATTGGCTGTTGCCAGGGTAACAAACCATCTGCAAAACCCACCTAGGCTGCATCCTAGAAAAATATGAAATCATTTTTGAACAATCTGCTCTGAAGCTGTCAGTCAAGTCTCTATCCTCTCCATAGTGCATGTTAATCCGTTGCCTGTTAGCACCTGACGTTGTGCTCTTCCCACAGAGCCACACAGGGGAGCACAGGGACCCCTAACCGCAGCAGTGTTAACGTCTTGTTCTGCCACTCGGGCAGCTGAGGAGCACCGCTGAGGTGTTTGTGTGGCCTTGTCTGCTCTGATGAGCTGTGCTTTCTCTTTCCACCCGGCGCACGATTGATGGAGTGGCAGTGTGACATGTAAGAGTGTTGCGACATGTTGCGTTCCCCGCCTGGGCAGTAGGGGGACAGGGGGCCCCTCTCTACCTCTACCTCCGCTGTCACATTGATGAAGGACAGATTGGCTCTGGTCTGATCTGAGTGCTTCATCATGGTGATGTATGGGGCAGCCGGCCCGGCTCCAGCTCTGGGACGCGCGTGTGTGTACACCTCTGTGGCTCTTTGGCTAAATGTTTTCCCTCCGTTAAGTGCCTTTGCTGCTCTCTGTTTCTCCGCACTGGATCTACATCACAGCGCAGGTGGTTTGCATTATTCCCTAAATTCCATTCATGACTACATGGAGAATCACTCGCCAAGGTGGAGTTGTTTATTCTCAGTCTCTCACATTTGAATACACAAGATGTGAGGACTAAAGAGGGCTAAATTTGTAGTACACAATGTAATACTGATTCCTTCCAAGATATTCTTTCTGTACACTGACACATAAAGTTAGTATTGTTACATTTCTAACTGCAAATAGAAGATGATAGAATAACATATCAAAAATTGATACTCTTGAACAAATCCTAAAAAGGACAAATGCTCGAAATGCTCTGAATATCACCGAGTAATTGAGTGACTTTTATTGACCTCAGGGGTGTTACTTTATCTTGAAGTGAATAAAAACTGAATAAACTGAAAAAGCCAGGATGCTGTGCTTAGTCTAAAGTATTGAAAAATGTCATGTTATCTCATTGTGACCAAAGTATCACAAGGTCTAGTGGTTTCCAGCCTCGGGCCAGACAGCAACAGTTGAAACTAAAATGAATTCTCTATGCCAGTGACATGTCATAAATCGAAAACAGTGTATATTTAAAAGTTGTCACATATCCATCTCTTTCTTCTCGGAGCCTGCCAGTACAGTCATAAACGCTCTGTTCCAGACAGCAATGTATCTGCCCCGTACAACCCCCACCTCCTTTCTCTGTGGGCAGGGTGTGGTTGTGTGTGTGTTCCCCTGGGTTGGGGTCCAAGACTGAAATCAGATCAGAGGCTCATTGTCTGGCGGGTAAGACGAGGATTATTTTCCTAACCTTCTCATACCTTCATGCAACAATGACAGAGGACAGAATGAGTAAGTTGTTTAGAAAAATCTCCCCTTACACCAAAAAACACCTCCATCTGCTCCTTGTGTCCTCATCCACATCGACTCAATGAGCCGGGTCCCGCTACAGTGCGTGTGTGTGTGTGTGTGTGTGTGTGTGTGTGTGTGTTTGTTGCTTTTTTTAAACAGAATTTTGTGTATTAATGCGTCTTTAAGAGGCCAGCATGAGACAAACAGGGGGCCTGACCTCACAACTAACACCACCTTAACCGAGAGAGGCCATACCGTGAGACAAAAAGGGAGCAGCGCTCACAGGAAACCTTGAAGCTCCAGCTCCTCTTTCTGTCAGCAGTTTGTCTGAATAGAGGATTTCAGCTCAGCTCGCCTTCAGAGGAGCAGCCTAATAAAAACCTTAACAATAAAAGCTACTTTCAGACCATGTTAGTCAGATGCGCTCAGATCCCATAACCAGTCTCACTGGTAAACAGAGTGGGAAAATGTTGTGTTAGTTGATGCGGCCAATTAATTATATTGCAAGTCATTTAAAAATCTATAAAAGAAGTATAAACTGGTTTAGGCTGTTTGAGAAATTGTAAGTATGGTATTAAAAAATGCAATACGTGTATTTCAATCGCCTTGAGCGGTGTTATATTGGAGTCTTTTTAAAAAAGGAGCTGTGTCTTAAAAAGGAGTAAAGCGTAAATTATGCATATCATTTTCCCCCCCTTTCCATTCCTCTTCTTCATTTTTTCGCAGGAAAAACATGGCCGCAATCCACACATGCTTTGTCCCACTCGCTAGGCTCTCCTCCCTGGAGGTGGTCTCTCACACTGGCAGGAGGGAGGTGGAGGTGTCAGAGCACAGTAGCCTGCCTGAGAGAGGCTCTCTCTGGGTGCTGGAGGGGAGGAAGGCTCCTGTATGTGTTGGCCTGTTCGTGGCTGTGGGCATTCAAGTGTGTTATATTGAGCCTGTGGTGTGAGGCTGTTATGCCCCCCCTCCTGTTCTCCCTCCTCACAGACCTCTCTGGATAACACCACTGCAAAACTAGTTTTCTGAAGTTGTTTTTAACATCTCACTGCAAGGCTGTTGTTAATCTCAGTCACCTGTTTGAAAATGGTATAATATGCTACAATGCAAAGGTATTTGAGATTATATCGGGCCAAACTCAGATTTCCCATCATGCTACAGCCACACGAGCTACTTGGAAGCTGTGTAAGTCCATTTCTAGACAGAATGAAAAACTACGCACAGTCTGTACACCTGCCATTACCTCTGGTAATCTCTTGACAAACTAACTGTAGCTCCATCAGAGTAGCTATTATCTCAGTTAGTGACAACAAGCTATTAACTTTACTGTGGAAAAAGCAGTGTAAAGGACCACAAATCATGCAAACTGCCTTAAAGCAGAATGAAGTTTTTAGGTAGAATTCCAGGCAGTGAAGAAAATCTGTGTCTACCAGCCTCAATCCTGGCTAGTGACCTCAAACTAAAACCCACAGACTGGCACAGAATATCTGAACTGAGAGAGTGAACAAGCGATGCCTCGTCTCCCTCAGCAGATGCTATGCTAGGCAAGCTAACTCTTGGTTACATCAGTGGAGCAGCACGGTGGCCACGTTTGTACAGTACAAATGCCAGACAGGTGTTTGAGTGTGTATGAAAGTGTTGAAGGGTGGAGGTGAAAAATGGTTTCCTTGCTCAGCAGAATCCTTTGCTAGAAAAATAAAGGTAAAAAAAAAAAAAAAAATGTCTCCACTGTGACAGCATGCAGAGCGTTTACAAGGTTTACAAGTTTCTCTGTGTCCTGTGGATAACCTCATAGATGGGTCTGATCCCATAAAACACCTACGCTGCCAAATCAAAGTTAAACAGATGCAAAAATACAGCGTCTAGACAAAAATGCACACAAGGGCCTCACTGCAAAATCATAAGCAGACGTATGCTTTTAAAACAATTATCTTCACTTCTTGATGGAGGAAAGATTTTATCCTTAAAAAAACACTGGCTACAGACATCAAGATAAAATAACAGTCTATATGATGTAACAGTTTACTTGAAGGGCTTTGTGTGGCATATTACAAATGCATGCATCACATAATGTGTTTTGACAACATTTTTAACACCTTAAAGTTACTGAATACTTGCCCCAGGAAGACTCAGCCCTGTATCCTCTACACTATATGTATTCACCAGTTTAGCTTCACTGGATGTTATGTGTGTGGTTACATTGTTCCTACAATATGCATTTATTTATGGTTGTATGTTACTTGTCTTGAATGTACACATGCATTGCCATTTATCATGCTGCATCCTCAAATAGTCAAATTAAATAGTCAGAATAGTCCGATTTTGGGACTTGAGATGTTCTTGTTCTTAATCTCGTCTCAGTAATCTCAACACACAGGACAGCTCTGCCTCAGCTCTGCCTCCAGCACAACTATCCATTTCTACCTTCAAACAACAGAAAGAACAAATATCTCCACAGATATACTGACACGGCATAGACACACTGAATAGTAGCGCCGCATTAAGCATCAATTTTATATGTATTTTAGTTTGCAAAGTTAAGTTAGCCAAAAGTAATGTCTACAGTTTGAAAACACAGTCTGCTGTATCACAATGTGGCCAAATTCCAGGACATAGTGGGTCCAAAATGAATAAAAACAATCTTTAAAGTGGCCTGTTTACAGTATTATATTTCTAAACTGTATGACGTTGTAGTTCCTTTTACATAAGAAATAATAACTAAGCATGAAAGTCCTTATGAATTGTTGTTTTTTTGTGAAGGAATACCCTGGGACTGCACTGAAAATTAAATTTTGCTCACCATTTGTAACCTGCAGATTTAACAGCTGACTCTCCGCTGTCTGAGTTATATTATAGCATCATTTCATTTAAAAAAGAGATTTTATTAACACCAAATACAGAAGCTACATTTGATAAAAAGTTTTATCTTTGCCAGTTCATTGTGTGTTAGGGGCAAATAAGTTTTCAAGGTTGTAAACATCACATTTTTATTGTGGAGTAATACTGTCTTGTACTTTATCATGGAGTTATTTGAAGAACCGTATATCATTTCTCTAATATTCCTAGAGGAAGAAAGTATCTGGTATTCAATATCAATTCACTATTTTCATTTTTCGATCACTAATATTTTTAAATAGTAACTCATAATGTTTTTCTTGAATCTAAACATGTTTTTTCTTTATCACATTTTACAAACGTAACAAAATAATTTCTGTTGAATACAACAGACATGACTTTTATTGTCCTTCTATTATTCTATCTGGAGATTCTCTGAAGTAAAAGGATATATTTTATTATCTGTCATTTGTTACTCAAGGCTGCACATTGCACCTAGTGTCAATACGTAATATACCCACATCAAGGAAGCTACACTCACAGTGGTGGTGTAGTACGTGCATATCCTGGTGCGGACAGGACATTACAATAAAGCTTGTGTGAAACACTGTGAAAAAACTGTGCTGTGCTGCTTCAGTGGTCCATCTTCTAAAAATGTGCTACAACTAGATTTGTGTAGCAGAGCTGTGTTCTGTAGAAAACGTCTAGAATGTATTAAAGGAGCCACATGAAGATGGAAGTGGGGATTTTGTTGTTGTTGTTGTTGTTGTACTATAAGTTTTACTAATTTGTCTTAAAGCAATGTTTTCCAGTGAATATAAAATATTCATGATGGTCTGATAACATGAATGTAGTCTCCAAAATCCCTTATAGGCCATGCATCAAGCAAAGTGTTTCCAACCTTTCACCACTACAGAAACAGGAAATGCATCATGGTGTGTTACCTGGACGGAGTTGAGCCTGCAGTAGCCATTGAGGGGGAAACGGATGACGTGCGTTGGGTCCTGGTTCCAGCCGGCGTTGACTGAGTTACACATAACGTCTCCAGTCTCAGGGAAGATCTCCTCGATGAGGACCTTCTCCCCGCTCAGGGCGATCCTTTCGCCCAGGTCGGGTGTGACACGAACCACCAGGCAGTCGCAGGGCTGCGCCATCCGTCGTTGCTCGCGCTCCTGCTTCCAGCGCTCCAGCTCTTTGATCATGGGCGTCAGCTGGTAATAGCGCGCCTCCTCGTACAGCAAGTGGAAGTCCTATACCGCAGGATGAACATGGAGATGAGAGCAGTGAGTTTGCCTGTATGTACGGTCCTCTTGGCTATATGTGTGATTAACACACTGTGAGTTTCAGTACATTACATCTCATCACCAAGGTCATCAGGACAAAAACCTGTACATACATAGAGTTGTGCAACATTAAGATGACAATAGAAGGTATATTCACAGGTTATCCTGATGGCTTCCCCACAGCGACTAATAACAAGGTGTCCTTGAGCAAGACACTTAACCTCTAATTACTCCAGGAGAGTTGTTCTGGCTGCATCTGCTCTTTGACCCTTAGTGAAACATCAACTGTGCAGCACAGGCATGAATGGAGGAACAGTGATGGAGAGGTGTCCTACTATATCTCTGAATACCTTAACATTCATGTTTGTGTGTGTGTCAGAAACCACCAGTGTCCTTTGTCCTCATTGTCTCTTACAAGATAATTTTACTAAGGTTTGCAAAGGTCAAGGCATCATGTCTTTGAATCACACACTTGTTACCTTGCTTCTCACAATGTCAGCAGTGCAGGAGTTTAACTTTATACTGCTACACTCATGCTTAGCGGATCTAGATAAGAAACAGACAAATACCCAAAATGTAAATGTAAAAATGACCTTTGTTTGTCCTTGTGAAGTTAAAGATATTTAATAGCTACAAAATATCTAACTTGTTTCTATGGAGTGCATCTTCTGGAAAGACGAACAACAAACTAAGATTGGTGATGGCCTCTGACCAGCAGGACAACACTCTCAATAAACAAAGCACAGCCATGCTGCAGCTCTCCTCCACAGTCGCTCTTGGCAGAGCTGTGCTAGCCTTTAGCATGTTTTAGTGAGCCGACTCCAGAAAGGCCATCAGTAGGGCTCCAGTGAAGTGGGATGGTACATTCCTGTGTGTAGACAGTCTGCAGCAGATTGCTCGCCTCTCCCTCCTGGGCAGGGCTTGCTGGGGGCCATTTGCCCCTGTGCTCTTGCCTCTAATTTCCCATAAGACCAGATGGCACCATCATTCACCGCTACCATAGAAAATACGGGGAGGCGGAGGTTCACTATTGGAGGCAGACGGGAGGTGAGGAAAAGATATGTGCAAAGTGAACATGAGGACAATCATCAGCCGAGGAGGATTTTAATGTATTCTTCACATAGAGGGAGTTTTATGTTAATGAGGATTGTGGCCCGACGTTAAGCTCCTATTAGAACAAGATTTAATTAGGTTACACCTAAATGCTGGAAATCTTTCTGCTAAACAATTAGCAATTAATAAATCTGTGTTCTGATTAGTGTTTTGCAGTGACAACGAATGACAGCTTAATTCAATCGTAGTTGAAGAGCTGCCATCACTGCCATTGGAAGTTTATTCTTACATGATGTTCCTGTTACTTAGCTTCTGGCTATAGTTCATTTCAATATATGGACGTTGTGAAACCACAGCAAACAACCGATTGCACATTTGGTTACATATTTAATAGACACAGAAAGAGGGTGCTCATCTTGGCGCACTGCAAAGTCTTAACGCCCTTGAAAAGTGACACAATGTGTGTTTTTGTTCTGCGGAAACAACATATGTTTCATATAGTCTGCATCATTGGTGGCTGTGTGTGTTGGGTGCCGGGGCCGCCAGGGAGCCCTGATCTAAAAAGAGTTTTTCCCCTTCCCTTTTCCGGACCACTGCTGGGTATAGAAACAGAGCATGGCAGCAAACAGCATATTCATTAACCCTGCTGCCTCTGTCAGAATCTTTAGCCTTGAAAAGCCTCCCTCACTGGTTTACCCCTTCATCTAAACTGTGCCTTCATCTGAGACGTGTGAACAACACCCAAATACAACTCCATCTGGACGGGAGCGTTGACGCAACACATCTTAAGCTGATGGTCTAATATTTAAGATTTCAGAATGCGAAAGTAGGGGGGAGGGGGGGAGTGGGTCCTTTTTTTCCCTTTTTCTCTCCCTTTCTCCCTGTCTTTTTCTCTCCTGGCCTTCTTGCTGCAGCTGACAAAACTCATACTGAGACACTCCCCTTCAGGCAGCTCTCTGTATCAAAGTGTAGCTCCTCATCCTTCACAGGTCTGAAGCCATGGATGGATATGTTTTTAACAGGGGTCTGTCTGCGAGGCACTTTAGTCATCCTGAGCAGTGCAGAAAACAACAGAGTAATCCTAAGCGCTGAGGTGAGGATGAGAGGGAGACAGGGCCAACAGCTCCGTCCTGGCTGCTGGAGCTGCTGCTACTGCTGCCAGCTCTACGAGACAATTCATCCCCCAATCCTGTGTCCAGACAGCCCGTTTGAGCTTCAAAATAATGATCCGACCTGATCGCCCACCGGCAAGGCAACATCTCAGAAAAGGACAGAGGGAGGGAGAGACAGAGAGGGAGGCAGAGAGCGAGAAGAAGAAGAAAATGATGGAAACTGTCACTATGAGGGAGTCGGAGGACTGATAAAGACCTACCGTATGTTTTGGACTAAAAATGACCGAACCCACACAGGGAGAGGTTCACAGGGTGTGGGTTAAACATCCCACTGATGAAAAAAACCCCAGCCATTGCTCATCTAGGGCCCAGCACCCACAAAAAATAAAAACATTAGTTCTTTCCTATGAGTTTTAGCATTTGATACCGAAAAAAAGAAAGCCTTATTGATTTAAAGTGCAATACACGAACCTGAATAAACTGATGCAGTAACCACTAACTCTTAACGGTTTATAACCATGCCCTCAATATGACTGAGCATTGCTTACACTCTTGTGATTAATTGTAGTCTGAATAATGAGATGAGGAAGGATATTAATAGTGAATATTTTGTTCCACTGATGTAGGCTGAAAAATTTCTTTTCCTATTCTGCTCAGACTTTCACATTGATTTAGCAAAACACACAGCGCCGTGGCTGCCAGCAGCAGAACAGACCCAGCCCTCGGGCGACGGCAAGCCTGATTGTGTTCAGATAAGGACATGCTCAATTCCGCCTCGCACTATTTGCATTTTTTTTTCCTGGGCTTCACGCAAATTGAAAGGTATGCAGATCCACACAGGCTTATGCGAGGGGATCGTGATGAGTTGAAACAATGAAGTCCAATGCATTCTCCTGATTGGACTGTCAAGATTTCACAGAGAGGGAGGGAAAAAAAAGCATGAATAAGAAGGGGAAAACTAATCAGTTGTGAGTCAGGCCGTCATTTGCCAAAATATGCAGGGCTTTCATGTCATGTTCTGTTGTTTGAGGTTTGGCTCTTGTAGAGACTGATGAACAAGTGCCAGCCCAGTGGAAAGGTCATGCAAGTTAAGGTGGAGTAGAACTGAATAGTAGAATACACCTAGGCAACACTGAATAAAACCTTGAACAGGAAGCAGCTGTGGGCAGAATACATAAAAATTCACACAAATCCACATATGGTTGTGGGGATACTTGTGAGGTGAGACTAACTTGCTAGTAATGCCATCAGTTTGGTTTAAAGCTGCATTTTTATATTAACAACAGCTCAAATCACCATGTATAGCGTGGAAGGAGTCGCTCGTAGCGTTTAAGCTACAAACAACTATCACACAAATCTGCATTTCCCTGCAGCTCTACAGGACATTTTACCATCTTTCAGCTCATTGTTTTGGTTTTACAGCCCTCAACTTTACTGCTGTGGTTCACTCTCACCATTCTTGTCTACATCATTCTCATGCAGGAAGCTGTTTTCAAAAAAAAAAAAATTATAGAAAAAGCTGTGATACACCAGTCAAATGCTATCTGGCTATAACCAAACAGCAGGCAATTAGCGACTAGCTGGTGAGCATAGTAGAAAATTTTTATGGATATTTTGGATATACTGGTTTTACATTTTGCAGATTTCCAGAGGCACAACTTCAAATAATTTCTAATGTTGCCCCCTGTCTGCTGGAAATCTAAATAAGCAACTGTTTGCTAAGATGTTCCCTATATCAACTTTAGCCTATACTTATCAGCTTTAACAGCTACTGGCATAGAAATATGAACTCTGTTTTATTGTATTAAGCTGGGAGATAGACAATCAACCTGCACAGCTCAATTCAAAAATACAAAACTAATAATCTAAAAAAAAAACCTTGTATGGATTAACTGGTACCAAGCTTTGTTTTGTTTGCCATTAACATGTGCTTTGGATAGTTTAATATACATTCATAACAGACATGACATACTGTATATGCATTCACTTACAATAGAGTTCTTTGATGCGGATGGTAAAACAGGAGCTACGAGTGTGCAGTGTCAGTGGTGTAATACGGGCCAAAGCAGATTCAGTGGGACTTCCTGTCTGTATGGGAGTTGGTCAGAGCAGAGGGGCGTACAGGCTATTTCACCTGCGCTCACCTCTATAGAAACCACTCTGAGTGAAAAACAACAGCTCAGGGCTTCGGCACACACATTATTGGGCCATGCTCCAGCTAGCCAGTTAGCATTTTACCTCTACACCACTGTAAACTCCAACTGAGTCTGTGTTTCTGTTTTTTCCCCCCACCAGAGCTCCCTAATCACTACTTAAATGTATGCTCCAGGTAATTATGTGTTGAATGGGAAGAAGGTGAGTCTACGTTAGGCGTTGTGAAAACAGAGGTGGCGGCTCTGTTGTGGTATTGGGTCTATTTTGAAAACATGAGACCCCTGAGAGAGCAGGTAAACATATTCACATTTACTCTTCCATACAATACTACTGCATGTCTGGGCAGATGGCTTTACATACTCAAGCTTTTTATGTTGCAGTGTTGTCCAAACAGAGCTGATGGTGCAGACAAGTACACACGATACAGTATGTTGTGGTGCGGATATATACCTTGAAGTCATCTGGAAGGAGCAATTTGCTGGTCCTGAGGAAACTGAGAATGTAGCGGAATATCTCGCCGTCCCGATCTATGAAGTAGTGCTGCTTCAAGCTGTCCAACACGATGGGCTCGGTGCCATTGAACAGACGACTGATTCTGAAAATTGAAATACACACACACACACAGATGCGCACGCACGCACGCACGCAGGCAGCCGCACACACAAACAGACACACAACACACACACATAGTGGAATGAGCCAGCTCCTTTCAAATGCATGAAACAATTACCCTCCATTTATTTTTCAATTTTATTAGCACTAAGCTTGAAATGCATTAGCATCCCAGGTTGAAACAAGGGGCTTAAGGCACAGTTCCTCCATTCCAGACTTGTTTGAAGTGTCCCTTCTGCAGGAAGATTACAACAACACACACGCTTGCTGCTTGTACTTACAGAAATTAATGGCATGAATGTAGCATTACAGCTCTATTATTCCATCTGTCAGTGGGGTGGAAATGAAACAGAGGTAGGAAGTGGTGGAGGGCCACATACTAATGTTAAGAAGACATCTGGAGAAAGATATTTCACTTTTACAATTTAACTTTGTGATGATTATATGAAGAACTTGGACAGCTGCACCTCAACTGTATGGCATGCCGAGTGTATTTAATGCAGAGTTTGTGATGATGTCTATCAGCTGCTCTATGTTTTATTCGTATTGATTGCATAATTCTGTAGCCAGAATTCCACTGTCCACTTAAAACTATATTTAAATTTCAGATTTGCTATGTACTGTATAGTATAATCCTAATCCCAGATACATATTTTGGTGAAATTAGACAATTTTTATCAAAAATGAAATGTTGACCTTTAAAAATCTGTATTTGTCTATAGGGGTCTATTTTAGGAAAAGAATACGCTAAATTTTCCCTTTGGTACCTCTATATTAACTGTATTGCTGAGGCTGAAATAAAGTCATATTAACTGTCTAAGATTCCTGAACACGGAGTTATTTGGCTCAAAGTTAAAGGCAAAGCAAAGACTGAAGAACTGACTGAGTTTTGAATAACTGAGATAATTAAAACATTATTCAAAATTACATCAATAATGTGTTCCCTATTAGGAAACACATTCATTAACTTTAACAGTAATTAGATGTATGCGTTTAAGATTTCACCAAATATTGACAAGACTTTGGTGTAATAATAAGACACTTGTTGCTGCCTAGCATCCCATGGTTAACCCCTTCCCACTGGTGTGCTGCAAGATTAAGGGCTTAGTTGAAGTTGGCTACAGGGGCTCATCAAGGCAAAGAGTGGAAATTGCTCTTATCTTTAAACTTTCATCACACCATGTTGGCGCCGTGCCTGGAGATACCCTTGGACAGATATTCATTTCCCCTCGTCTTTGTGTGGTTTTCCTGACGCTTACCTGCAGGTCCCTCTCTCGCTGGTCTAATAATCCTGTCTCGGCACTTCCACTCTATCTGTTTGTTCTTTTACGAATGCTAAATATCCCTCTTCAATAATTAAAAATAATCTTTCCCCTAAAATATTGAGGATGCAGGTTGCAAGTGCTTTTATTTTGAAAAACTTTTTTTTTTCTCCCAAAGCACAAAGCGCAACAATTTGCTTCATTTTGTGATTCATTTTGAAACAAAGCTCACGTCTCCCTCAGCAGAGAAACCTGGAATGCCTGTGCAGTGTAAATATGCCGTACTAGTGATTTACACAAGAAATCTGTTGCACATAACCTCCTTAACGGTTTCACTGCACATTTCCATCGTCTTTCTCAGAAACAGCTCTTGGCAGGGCGCTGCGTTGCTGTTATTATCATCATTTTGATGTAATCAACTCTTTAATCACAGTAACAGCTTCTAGGTCGGCTGACAAAGTCGTATGACAAAGAAAATTGTAAAACCTATTTGCAAACACGCCGACCGACACACACACGCACACACACCCAGCACTGTCTCAGCACGGGCATTGTCAAATTCTATTACAAGACACTAGAAGGGAGGCGCGGTGGGAATGTCAATGAACAAACAGCAGGGCTGGCTTCACTCACAGACTCGTTTTGCTGAATTTACAATTACAATTGTCTACTTGGTGAAAGTGTGTGAGTTTGTGTTTAATGGTTGTATCAGGTATCTCCTGACCCCGATGTGTCGGCACAACACACTGAAGCTATCAAATCAAATTCACCCTGTTTCTTTTTCTTTGACTTGACTGTGTGAAGAAGCAGAGCAAAGATGGTTCTCCCTCCCTCTCTCCCCTCCTGCTATCCTTTCTCTCTTTCACTCTCTCTTTTCTTTCTCTCTCTCTCTCTCTCTCTCGCTCTGTCTCCATCCTTCTGCCTTACTCGCTTTCTCTCTGGAAATCGATGCAAAATGCTTTATAAAAAACCAATACTCATCTCCCTGTTTTGCCTGAGGTGTTCCTTTCTCATATGGTCTTGCAATTCTTCCAGCTAGAATTTCACCATACCCCTCCAGGCTAACTCTGTTTTTCATCTCCACTTTTTTAAAAAGCAATTAAAATGCTGCCTGTTTTTCTTTTTCTTTCCCTCTCCTCTACTCCCTTCACTCTCTCGCTCTCTTTCTCTGTTGGTCTGCTCATTTTTTCCCTTTCTGTTAAATCCCTGAATTGGAAGTGGGGGTGGGGTGGGGGGGTGGGGGGGGTGTTTTTAACAGGTAGGGAGAGAGAAATGGGTGGGGAAACAGAGAAATTAAGAGCGAAGATACACAAACAGACAGGCCAAAAGACAAGGGGACCGGCAGAGAGAAAGAAGAGAAGGAAAGACAAAGATATGGGAAATTAGACAGAGAAATCAGAAGAAGAAAAAAAAATATGCAGAAAACAGAAGTAAAGAGGGAAAATGAAAGAGACAGAAAGAAAGAATCAGAATACAAGAGAAATGGAAAGAGTGGGAGAAAAAAATGCTGAAGAGAAAAAGAGAAAGAGTCAGGGCGAAGCAGGGAGGTGGTGGGTGTAGGAGGTTATCAGGGGCAGGAACAGCTCAGATCTCTCACCCCAGCTGTGCCAAGTGAGGGCAGGTAGCGGGGCAGTAGGTGGGCAATATCTGGCAGGATCCTCGCTGCAGCAGCTACAACCGGCCAGCAGCTGAGAGCTGTTAGAGACGTGTCTGCAGGAGGTGGGAGGAGGACTCAGCGCAGGTATCACTGATTCTACTAGAACAGATGCTATCTGGAAACTGTAACACTAATGGACGCCTAATGGACGCAAGACATTCAGCAGCTTCCTGCACAGTGAAACAAACACACGCCCAAGGATCTTGGTTGTGTGTGTCCAGCCTGACACCAAAGGCTGCCCACAATGGGGGAGTTCAAAACCAAAGTCCTGCTCAAAGTGACTGTAAAATACTCAGTAAACTGAAACAACTCCCCCAAAGGGCGTGTGACAAAAATTTCCAGAAACACGGAATTGAGTTTTAATTCTGATTAATATTATGACTTGTAGAGAACGTATGACCATGACTGTTTAAATCACGCTCCAGTTTAACTTGTAATACCTGCGCACATTTCCCCATTTCAAAACTAAATGAGCAGCAGAGGTGTTCTTACATGGTTCTCTAGGAAGAGCTAGGGCGCTGTTGCCCAGTATTTGCCTACACAGGTCCATGATGTGAACCAAACATCTCCACTCTTATGCTCACAACATGTGTTGCTAACAGCCACTGTGTTTATCTGCAGCGCATGAAAACATTTCATGTTATTTTGGAGCTACATAACTAAACAGTTTTAATTCATTCTCATAATTATTTCATGTTATGTGGTTAAAATGAAATGCCTTATCAAACAGCTGATTTTATTTTAGATCATGAACATGTGTTGGTGCCATTCAGCCTCTTTAAAATCTTTTTTTTTTTTTTTTTTTAAAAAGCAAGAAGTCACTTGAGGGCGCGCTTAGAATAGCTAAGAGGCTTAACAATGACAGGAGATAAAAATAAAAGGAAGAACAGTGTTTTCTGAAACTTGGGAAACAAGATATTCTTTGCCACATTAATTGTAGTGATTTCAGCTTACAGAAAAGTAAACTAGTACGCACAGAGGACCAGTAAAAGAGCACAAAGCCAGTACAGATTTATCGTCTCTGGACACAGAGGACTCGTGTTCAAAGAGAAAAATGTCCAGTGGTCCTTTCAAAATAGTTTCCTTGTCTCTGGAACATTTCCCCTAATTTCCTCAGCTTCTGTTCAAGTGACTGCTGAGACTGTCCTCTTTGAGAACTACACAGAGTGTGCATCAATGTTTCATGACCCATGTCCCTTAATATGGCCCGCACAGAAGAAGATGAATAACCACACATTAGTTACTAGACTAACTTTCTCTTGGCACGCTGCATTATTTAGGGGCCAATCTATTAAAAGTAATCATCAACTTTAAACTCTTTAACCCTGCTCTTTTAGACGTCACTTTGCACTTTTGCCAGCGTGCCCTGCTCGACCGGACGTGGCCGAAACGCGGTGTATACGGCTCTGCCAGTGTAACTGTTTTGCTTTTTGCTGTCAGCCATTATCCTAATTCACACAAAAGGGCCCCTCCTTCCACTGGCTCCAGTGGAAAGTGGAGCCCTGAGGCCAACTGTACACTGAGGAGGCTGGGAGAGAGTGAAACAGTGAGTGTATGCATGTGTGTATGTGTGTGTCTGTGATCCAGAGTGAGAAAGAAACAGAACGAGATTCGGAGAGAAAGAGAGAGAGAGAGAGAGAGAGAGAGAGAGAGCAACGGAGAGCATGTGTGAAAGAGAGAGCGAGAGAAAGAGAGGAAAGCACTCCAACCAACACTCACACTGGTATCCGGTCTTTACTCTCTCCGTGAAAACACTGTTTGGGTGCTCTGACATGACTCTGTGCTCCATTTACATGGTGCCCTGTGTATGTCCCCCTGTGAGTAACTTCTTTGTAAAGTGTGAAGCTGTATCAGAGCATGAAAATAAAGAAACACTATAGCAGCACGAAAAAATACAGAATGAAAACTAAACAGAAATCTATCGACCATCTGTGTTGAAAACTGATTTAAAGCAAGTGAATGTCTCCTAACAAGTGATGACCAGATCTAAATATTATCAGCACATTTGATAGAAACTAACTCTTGCCTCATGGCCACTAGTTAAACCCGATACGACACTGAAACTGTGAGCAACAAAAAGCATCGTTACAAACAAAAACAATCTGAAAGCCTCGTCTGGGATGAGCTGTATTTTTCACATGACACATTACAGTCAGGAATAAAAAGGAGAGTTGTCAGGGATTTCCTGTCAGCGGACTCTATGAATATCAAGACTTTATTACCAAGGGATTATGTGGATTGTTTCCTGTAGCCAATTTGGCAGATTTTCTAACAACCTGGTGTATGTTTACCTTGGCCCACATGGGACTCTGTCAGCTGACGCAGAACCGAAGCCTGTGTAATGTAATGAATGACACGCTGCATTATAGGAAAAAAGCAGGGGGCCTGAAACGTCCCGTAGTTTTAGTTTAAAAAAAAAAAAAAAAAAAATCATACCTCAGTAGAGAACAGAAATATTTCAGCAGTAGTGCGTTTGATTTTCGGAGCTATAGGGCTATCTCTTCTGTGTCACCTTGTCTGTGGATGGAGCTAAAAACGTGAATAAAGTGGGAGGGTGGATTATCAACAGCTCTTACACAATCTGAATCATCATGACTGAATCTTACAAAGGAAGTGCATCAAAAACAAAAGCCCTAATCTAACTCTCGCAATGTGTGAGATCGCACCAGCTCTTTCTGACACTGTCCACACACAGACATTCAGTGAACAGAAAGTCACTCTTTTAGTTGGAAAGTTTGACTGCAATGACAACCCTGTTCTGGGCTATTTGAAAAATTATAATAATTATTACATAGAACAGAATGGGAATATACAGTTTGAAACTTTTGTTATCGTACAAGTGTGTCTTATATCTTGAAATAACCTCTGTCTCCGAGCACAAACAATGACTATAAAGCGGATCTGATGATGGTTAATGCTGGTTCTAAAATAGTCAAGAAAATCAATATGGAACAGGCCAAAGAGTGAGATTTTAATCTGATCTGAATCTGCCCCACATCAGCTTTGATGACAGGGATCCGGACATGCACGTCACTGTTTTTCCTCCAAGGATTCCTAACAGCATTCTCATCTTACTGAGCCAGGAAAAATAAAAAAAATAAAAAAATAAAAAAGAAGGGCTGTGAAAGCGAATGAAGTACACGCAGCAATGTGTGTGTTTTTGGTGTGTAAATTCACACAAACAGTACCATTTAAAATTAGCAGTAAAACGTGAAAGGTACTGTAGGCTTAGTTTTTGGCAGCAGCTGAATTTTACCATGTGAAAGGAGATTAAAAAAAAAAGGCTTGGAGGTATTTTATTAGGCAATTAAAAATAATCACAGGTAAAACAAAGAAAAACAATCAAATGCATCATTTTAAAGCCAAGAGAGGACAGGAATAATGGAGGCAAGAGAAATGCTCCCACATGGCCTGATAAGATTAAAGTGGCAGCTTTTGAGGGCAGATGTCACTATAAAAGTTGTCTTAATGCCAGTCAGCTAAATGACTTGTTAACAGCATAAATCCAATTAGACCTAATTAAGACAAACACCAGTCAAATGGTGTAATAATTGGTTTTATGACAGAAATGCAGTATTAAGATGTTAAATAGATTCAAACTGGTTCAAACTCATTTAAACCTACTTTGATTTAAGTAGGAAAGCTTTTCCATTTTCAGATATAAAAATTCAAGAATGTCTCACATTTAAAACAAAAGCAACAAGATGCACATCCTGCAAAAATCTCCCTCCGTCCGATTTATAAAATAAAGGAAATGAACTAATAAACTTACTCCAGCATGTGAGGAGCAGCAGGAGCGCGTCTTACCTGGAGTCTGGGTACTTGGTGAGGGTCGCCAGGCTGCTGGTGTACATGTGTCCCCCGACATCGATGTGCACCGGGGCGTTTGCCTTGGTCAGCTGAGCCGGCAGAGGGATCCCCTGAGCGGCCAGAGGAGAGACCGGGGACCGGGTCAGAGACAGCCGTGACATGCTTCTTCCCTCCTGAAAACAAGTGTACAGAAAAGCCATGGGAATAAAGGTAAAAAAAAAAAAAAAACCAACACAGTGATCCTACACAGGGAAGCAGATAGTATCCTCTCTGAATGGTATCAGATCACTTCCATGTCTGTCTGGTCGCATATTTAGCCTGGAAATTATTGCCACCGCTCTAATTAAGTATGTTTGCATCTTTTCGTGCAGCACCGGAGGCGAGGATAGGAGGATGCTTATTAGAAAACCAGGGTGAAGAGAGAGATAGAGCGAGATAGACAGATAGAAGGAGAGAGAGAGAGAGAGAGAGAGGAGTGGGGGGGGGACTGCTAGGTGTCAGCCTCCAGGGGAATAAAACAAACTGCTGCTGCAATATTCTAATTAAAGGTCGCCTTATGTGTTAGACGAGATGCGCCCAGACACACCAACCACTAATCCGAGAGCAAGGAACACACGGCGGGGAGGGAGGGGGGTAAGAGGGGGGGGGCAACTTTTCCTTGTAACACATACATACATTCAACACACAAAAGATTAAGATGATCGCATGACATGTAACTACAGACGCTTGTGATCTAAGCTGCGGCACATGGGGAATAACTTTATAACTACACACAGACATTCACAGGCCAAACAATGAAGTGTCATCATACTCCGTGTGAGCTGCGGCTCAGTATCAGAAGATTAATGTTTGAAATCGTCGTACAAAAACAATAAATGCCTGAGTCTACAGAGCGATAGGCTGCAGTCTGTGGAGGTGACTGGCGGCAGTTTGTTGGGAGCACGCTGGTGCAGTCCGGGGTCAGCGCGGAGCTGATTCTGATTAGCTGATCAAATGTGGAGAGAAAATATTTTGAATTCACTTCGATACGCCGCCATTTGATCCCGCGATGCTTCTGGACAAAGCGGAGGACGCGTTTGTCTCCAGATCACTCGTGCGTAATTTGTTTGCCAACAGCTGCAGGTGAACCACCCAACCTCAGTTTGGCCACTTTATAATGTGACACGGTGCAAATCTTAGAAGGAGTAAATCATGGCAGAGTGGGTGAGGTCACATGAGGAGCTGTTTTGAAGGAAGGTAATAAATTTATGATGCTATGAAACTACTTTTTGAATTTTCCCAATGATCACTGACTAAAGGTCACAGTTTATCCTGACTCATCTGTTACTCCTCGGGCTGTGGTTGGATCACAAACCTTCCCTGACGCAGTTAAGGCAAAAACTTATACGTTGAGCTTCACAGCGCAGCTGCAGAACTGGCTTTAAACCGATTGCCATAAGACAATTTTAGCCTCCAGTAAATCAGCACAATCGATCGGTTTTGCTGTTGCACATATGAACTGGTTTACTGTCATGGCTGGGAAACTGAAGGCCGTTTGTGAAAGTCCAGATCATCCCTGCGGCTCATGAGAGAAGCAGCCGCGGGCCACGGAGAGAGACTGGAGCTTTGTTTTTTCCAGGGTGGTGTCCGCCTCACAGCAGTATCATGTTCGTTTAATACGATTACAGGAGGACGGGATTACATTTCAAATCCCAGGAAAAGAAGGAAAAAACTTGGAAAGACTTAAGAAGTTTGGAGAAGGCTACACACCGGGCTGTCCCACCACTGCTCTCTCTCTCTTTCTCTCTCTCTCTCTCTCTCTCTCTCTCTCTCTCTCTCTCTCTCTCTCTCTCTCTCTCTCTCTCTCTCTCTCTCTCTCTCTCTCTCTCTCTCTCTCTCTCTCTCTCTCTCTTTCTCTCTCAACCAATCAGTCAATTAACCAATTAAATCACAGTATATATGGACCTACAAAAAAAGGACCAAGTGGAAAAAAATAGCTCCATAAATCCTCATAATCTTCATCAATCACAATTTTTAATCATTTCAACATTCTGTCTCTCTTGATCCCTCTCTCTCTTCATCACACACACACACACACACACACACACACACACACACACACACACACACACACACACACACACACACACACACACACACACACACACCATGTATGATAAATTCCTCCACAAAATCCCAGCAGCTGTAAAGGCATCAACTTTCTCCTCAGAGCTGCGGTGCTGTCGCTGCTCCCCTCCACTGACCCTGATCAGACACTGACGCCGATTTCACACTCGTGACATTAACATCAGATCACTGCGATCGCCCACAATTCAAATAAATAACCATACACAAGGGGAAACATTTAGATAGGAAAACAATGCGATACAACATCCCACTCCACAGGAACACTGCAAGCCAGTGTGCTCTGCCTTTAATTCGCCCAAAAGCTCAATATGGCGTCTTGTTCCTGCTGTACAATTAAAAGCATAATCCCGACACGTGTAATTCATAACCCGTTTGATAAAAAGCACACGTGTTAAGTGTCCAGTCTGTGAGAAAAGAGAGGAGGGGGGACTTCACGTTACTCTCCAGCACCAGTTCGACTAATCTCTTCGAAAACTGTAAAGACTATCCCTTACTGTGCGTAAAACATTGCATTCGGTAATATTGAAAATTCACCCTACCGTTTCAAACATTGTAGGGAGTCCAGAAGAAATCCGGTGCCGGTGGTCAGTCCCAGCTGCTGCTCACGTAAACCCCCCAAAATATCAAATATTTTCTCCAAATGCCCTCGACACAACTACACCACCATCCAGCTCCAGCACGAACCTATATACTGCCGCACGGAACAGCCAAGTCTTTGCTCTGTATCCCACACACAAAACTGTTTTTTTTTTTTTTTTTTTTTTTTTTGAAAAACACTAGGTTGCGGTCGGGATGGACTGCTTGCAAAGAGACTCTGTGGCTTTAAAGGCTCTATTGCAAGGCTGGCTCGACCTGTCCTCACCAAGCTTCTTTGTACCAAAGCGCACAGGAAGCGTCCTTACCTTGAACATAGATGAGATGATCTCCTTCCCCTTCTCTGCTCTTATTTGGATACGCGTAAAAATGTGCGCTCTTGTTGGAATCCTGCTTCGTATTTCAGCTTCTTGTCTGCCTTTTTGCCTAAATGAAACTGCCCCTGTGGTTTGTTATGAGAAGAAGAAAGCCAATAATCCGTCTCTAAATAACAGAGCAGAGCTAAAAAAGAAAATTCTTGCTCCGGGCTGCCCAAGCGCCTCTGGGCCACGGATTAGGCTACAATTAGCTCAACTCCACTCTCTCGCCCAGGCAATTTTCTCAAGGAAGAAAACGTGATACCCCCTATTCCCGAAATTATGACTGCACAGATATAATAACTTATCTAATTTTTTCCGGCAAAAAAGTAGACCGTTCCCCTTAACGGTGTGAAGTTGTGATTTAGAGGGTGAAGGAAACCTAAGAGGCAACTGTCAGTCGCTCAATAGATTTAGAGCAGCAAAAAGCAGATTTTAATCATTGTCATTTCGTCTGATGTAATAGTTCCCCAGGCAGTTCCAGCTAGCAGGCATACATTTCCATCTCCATCTCCAGCCTAAATTTAAAGTTTAAAGCCAGGCGGGCTGCCATAGTCCTTCACTCAGGCAACATCGCCTCTAATAAAGGCGCAGTAACTTGTTGATAAAGTCTCAGTAAAAAAATATGTTGAAAATGAAGAGATATCCTTGAACCAATATGTTTCATGCGGTGATTTTCCCCCGTGTCCCTGCTCTCTCTTCCTCTCCCTCTCTTTCTTGCCTTAATGTCTGGAGTTGTAACGCCAAATTTCCTGCAGGCCATTAAAATCAAATGACGTCTATGGACATGCATGCATGCTGCTGCAGAAAGCGCCCTCACAACCTGCCTGCAGCCAAATGCGCCATTTCAATTATAGCGCAGGGCTTAGATGGAGATATCTGCCCAGAACAACCCCCCCCCCCCCCCCCCGAACCCCCCCACCCACCACCTCCTCCTCCTCCTCCTCCTCCTCCTCCTCCTCCTCACTCTCCAATGAAAGCGGGCAGCCTCCAGACTTTTGGAAAATAAGATTGTGGCTGATTATTGTTATTCTTCAACACAGAGAGACACCAACGCAAGTGATGAGGCGCTAAAGTGTTGCGCCACTTTTGCATCGACAGAGAGAGAGAGAGAGAGAGAGAGAGGGAGAAGGGGGGAAAGATAGAGTCAAGCAGGTGCTCTCACCCAGGAGACGATTATTTATTTATTTGCATGTTTGTTTATTTGCGGGTAAATAACTGTGAATAATTGATGCAACATTGAGCCCAGTAATTACTCTGTACCAGCATCCGGAGAGAGGCGTAATATTCGTTTCTTGATATTTGGCGCCAACCAGTGTAGGAACTTATTATTGGTCCACAGGAAATACATGAATACAGTCACTATCTGGGAAACTTGTCTTTTGTTTAGCACCACCACGAAAACATATGAAGTCTCACGGATCTTATGGAACTTTAAAGCGTCCCTATGACGGTCCTTTAATATTTGCTTTGGACTTACAGTGGGCTATATTGCTCTTTTTATGCTTTAAATTAGTATACAATTAAAAAGCATTTAAACAGGAAATATAATAGCTGTGCAGGTGATCTGACAGCAGGACTGGTAGCAGTGTGAGAAAGAAGTCTCAGTAATTAGACAGACCTCAGCGCGCCTCACAGCGCTGCCATCTTCCCCTCTGGCACAGATTTGTTGTTTCCAGAGGTACAAACTGGAGGGGAAACTGGGTTTTTTTTCTCATTAAAGGAAACAAGCCCGGAGTTAGTTCAATTACATGAAGTATGCAGGGATGTTGTAAATTTAAAGATTTAAATAGCTTACAAAGTGGCCCCGGGCCCCATCAGTTAATTTCCTTAATTTATGGATTTTAGCGGAGTGTCTATGTGGAGGGGAAGAAGTAGGTCATCTTGAGGATTTGCATGCAGCTTTGAGATTTCACAACAGATCCAAACATCTGCCCTCCTGACCAGCAGCTCAGCAGGTGAAAGGACTGACAGAGGCAGCTATTTCTGTAACAATCTCCAAAAATATCCCCATGATAAAAAAGATAAATAAAAAAAACTAGAACAACAACAAAAACAGATTTCTGTTTTAAGATCTGATTGTAATATTTGACCCAAGTAATGAGATTATTGATGTTTGGTCTCCCTGATGCACGCGCAGACACAGATAACAGCTCTGTTCTAGTTTTTCATTAAAGGATTGTTCCAACACATTTCCCCCACAGTTTCAAATGTTTGCCTTTCTAAAAGTGTGGAAGTCAAATTTACAACCGATTTTTGTTTAATTCTGAGTTAAGACGTTTAAGCCGCAGTAAGAAAGTGCGCACATAAAAAAAGGAACAAGTGAAAATCAATCAAAATTTCAAAGTCTCCTTCAGACATCATATGTTAATGAAGTGCATGAATTAATGCATGACCCTATAAGAATAATAACTTTGCCCCTAGGTTCAAAAGCAGGAGCTATTAGTGGGGTTGCCTAAAGTGGCACAGAGGAGGACCATATTGTGCCTTTCTCTTCACCCTGCTTTGTCACAGCAATCACTGCCTCTGAAGATAATACGTGCTATCCTCTACTAAAAACCATCAGACATATCCTCTCACCACATTTGCTTTGACATGTCATGAGATAAAACAAACATTGCAATATGATTTTGCCACATTCATCAGTTATTAAAACTATTTAACACTTAATTCGACTTAAAAACAGTGATTTGCTAAACTACATATTAGTGTGTGTGTGTGTGTTTATATTTTTTTGAGAAAGCCACATTGTGTAACCAGGTCAAGGTCCCACACTGAAGAATCAATATGTTCGGCTCTTTCTGTGTGTGTACGTAGTATTGCTGGATCACAGGAAGTTGGAACATAGTACCATCTGCTGGTTAGCAGCAACATTGTGCTGAAACATCTTACTGAAGGATCACTGTACATGGATGTATACCCTCTGTAGACTCATACAGTAGATATGTTAGAATACTGTTTATGGGTTGAGTTCAAATGATCTAAAAACATGTATTTTTACCAGTTCTCACAAGGTCTTTTAGTGGTTGAAAATGGGTCAATTTGCTGCGGTATCATTAAATACTGTTTTATTCCGCTCTCTCTGTGAAACCTATTGATTTTCTTTTTCATAATCATTTCCTTGTTTTCTTTTTTTTCAAAGAATTTCCATTAAAGCCTCAGGGGCATCTGGCCAGTGGGTATCTATTTTTTCACGCGCTCGGGTCACCAACACACTGTACTTATGCACTGAGGTGAAAACAGTAGGTGCAATACAGTCACATCCAGCCTTCTAAACGCCAGCATTTGCAAGAATCTCTTTCAAGCGTTTCACATCAGATCAACACTCCTACTTTCCCCTCTGGCATGTGGAGAAAGTTTGAAAAGAACATTCAGAACTTGCTTTTAGTAATCTGCATGCCTTGTGGAGCCCGGTTGTTGTCAATCGTTCCCCTCTTCCAGCCATTTGACATTCTGCTTGATGTTGGTGTGTGTCTGAGGTGTAGCAGCGACACTTATTGTTCATTATCTCAGAGAGAGGGAGGGAGAGAGAGAGAGAGAGAGAGAGAGCGAGAGAGAGAGCGAGAGAGAGAGAGGGTAAGAGGGTGTCAGTTTATTAATAGAACGTGTGGGGTTGTGTTGCACACAAACACCTAACAAGCACAGTGAAGAATTCCCTCAAGTGCTTAATGCCAGCAATTAAGTTTCCGAAAAAGCTGAGCACAAAGAGAGTGTGTACTTTCTGTGTACTTCTGAGAGCTGCTGTTATGAGTCAATTCCACTTTTACAGGTAAAACTGCAATGACCACGATGCTGTCAAGCTGTGCTCAGGTTCTTACGTGATTGGCTGAGACATTTAGTAAATATTTACCTGCTGGGAAAAGGCTGAGTGGCCCTGACACAGCAGTAAAAGCAGTAGACCAGTTTGTATACTGGTGTTCAGCAGTGGAAAGTAACTCTGCACATTTACTTAAGTAACTTGAATACAAATTTGATGCACCAGGAAAATTCAGTGGGAAATATTGTTTTTTTATTCAACTACATTTATTTAACATCTTCAGTTACTAACTTAATAAAAACATTTTTTTACAGACATATTTTTTATGAAATATGCTTGTTACAGATTAAATTGCCTAACAGTGTATAAGGTAGTTAAATGGGGCAGCTGTGGCTCAGGGGGCAGAGCGGGTAAGGTCGGTGGTTCGATTCCCTGCTCCTCCAGTGTGGATGTTGAAGTGTCCTTGGGCAAGATACTGAACCCCAAATTGTCATCGAGTGTCGACTGAATGGTCGATAAAACTAGAGAAGTGCTATTCAAGTGCAGTCCATTTAAAATTTGCTCCACCTCCAACATGCTACATATGCATCAGTGGAATAATGATAAGAATCTAGTTACATCCAGTACGTTTACATTTCTCTGATGATACTCACTGTTTGTACTTTAGCTTGAGTAACATTTGAAATGTACGACTTTAACTTTTAATGGAGGATTTTCTATGTTGGTGTTACTACATTTACTTAAATGATCTAAATGCTTCCTCTAGTGTGGGTGTGAGCACTCGAATCAAAAATAAAATCTGAAAAAATAAACACAGTTCGGTGTGACAGAAATGTATTTGCTTCATTGTTATCCCTTTACCCGTCTCACTACCTGCATCCCGTCAATCCTTTGGGGGATCTCAGAGATATTCTGTAGGAAGAGTGAGAAGGTTTAATTAAAGAGTAACTGAGCGACAGTGTAACCATTGATTGAAGTGCTGAAGGCCGGGTTTGAACTGAAATGGATTTCTCAAAGCTCAAACTAGAGAGAATCTTCAGGTTCAGAGTCACCTTATAAACCTCATCATTTCATCACTTTTCTGGAACAGAGCATCAAAATCTGGACCGGGCTTTGAGATTTGGTTTATGAATCTCTTTTGCTGCCATCATGTGGTGTGAGGCTCTAATCACAGAATATATGAGAGGTGTAAGTGCCTGATACCTGTGAAGAAGGACTCCAGAGCACGGAGGCCTCCCTCATCATGTCTGGAGGACAACGATCAGCAG